AACGAAAATTAGAACAGGAAACTATTTTGGCACAACAATCTTTGGAAAATAGAAAATTAGATCTTCAACAGCAACGTTTGGATCTAATGAAGGATGGAAAAGTGAGATTAAATGATGATGATTTAGGTGAAGGAGCAGAGGGGGGGCTACCTTCTGTTAATTTTAATGTAGCAGCAAACTTGCGATTAATGCCTTTGTTTAATGAAGAAGATGTGGATACATTTTTTTTGTTATTTGAACGAGTTGCGGACAATCAGAGTTGGCCGGAGGCCGAACGATCGTTAATGTTACAGTGTGTATTGACGGGTAAAGCACAGAAAGCTTATTCTGCTTTGAGTTTGGCCGATAGTCAAAATTATGATAAAGTTAAAAAGGCCGTTTTGAAGGCATACGAATTGGTTCCAGAAGCGTATCGCCAAAAATTCCGTGGTTTAAGAAAGAACTTTACCCAGTCATATGTAGAAGTAGCACGTGAACTGCAATTGTGTTTTACACGCTGGTGTAATTCTGCCTCTGTCAAATTGTTTAAGGATCTGGTGGAATTGGTTGTTTTGGAGCAGTTTAAGAACATACTGCCAAATCAAATTGCTATATTTATTGCAGAACGTAATGTTTTGTCAATAGCAGAGGCAGCAGCATTAGCAGACGAGTATGATTTAATTCATAGAGTGGGGAGTGATGTGGGTTGTCTTAAAGAGAAACCTACATTTGTGCAGCGTCCAGAGTTACCGACAGTCACGCGTTATGGAAACACGAAAATTGCTGGTAAAAACGATCCAGTTTTAATCTGTAATTATTGTTTAGGTCATGGGCATTGGAAGAAAGAGTGTCCTGCGTTACAGATGAAAGGTCGGGGCCGTTACATCCAGCCAAAACCTACATTCTTAGCCGCACCGGTGGCTAGATCTGTTGAATCTGAGTCCTCCTTCATACCATGTAGTAACGAAATGCGGGAGAGTTCCTTTTCTGAGTGTAACTTTTCACCTTTTGTTTCTGATGGTTTTGTGTCTCTTCCAGAAGGCGAGCGTGTGCCGGTGAAAATTCTGCGGGACACAGGGGCATCTGCTTCTTTCATTTTGGAGTCCGTATTACCTTTCTCAAAAGAATCATTTACGGGCAAGTCAATGTTGATCTGTGGAATTGGGTTAACTAGGATGTCGGTGCCACTGCATAGGGTTACGTTGCAGTCTAAATTGATTCATGGTGATGTGGAACTAGGGCTGAGACCTGCCCTTCCAGTGGAAGGAGTTTCTGTCATTCTTGGGAATAATTTGGCTGGTGGACGAGTTTGGGGTGAGTCAGCACCACCATTAATTGTAACGTCAAAACCCATATCCGTTGCAGACCGGGATAGTGGATTGGATTATCATGATGTTTTTCCTGCTTGTGCAGTCACGCGCTCAGCAAGTCGGATGAGTATTATGAAAAATGAGGTACCATTTCAAATAGATGGGGGTGTTTCTTGGCCAGCGTCGTTGCTTTCTGTATCGCAGGATGAATTGATTAAGCAGCAAAAAGCAGATCTGACGTTGAATGAATTGTTTTCACAGGTGCTCTCCGATGCTAATGCAGCCCAGGGGTATTTCATGTGTGAAGGGGTTTTGATAAGAAAATGGACTCCACAAGCTAAAGCCTCTATAGGGACGCCATACGTACAGGTAGTAATTCCAACCCCTTTAAGATCGATGGTGTTAAAGCTCGCTCATGATGATCAGTCTGGGCATTTGGGCGTGAGGAAGACGTATGATCGTTTAATGCGGAATTTTTTTTGGCCTCGACTAAAACGCGATGTGTCGAGCTATATTAAAACTTGTCCTGTTTGCCAGCTAATAGGTAAACCAAATCAGAATCCAAAACCTGTTCCGTTACGTCCTATCCCTGCGGTGTCTGAACCATTCAGTCATTTAATAGTGGACTGTGTGGGTCCTTTGAGTCGATCAAGGTCTGGTAGTGAGTATTTGCTGACTGTTATGTGTCAGGTTACACGGTACCCGGCAGCTTTTCCACTGCGATCAATTACAGCGAAGTCTGTTCTTAAGGCGCTCTCCCAATTTATGTCAGTCTTTGGGATACCTAAAATCATACAGTCAGATCGGGGTACTAATTTTACTTCGGGAGTGTTTGAGGAAGTTTTGCGACAGCTTAATGTTAAGCATAATATATCTACGGCGTATCATCCGCAGAGTCAGGGCGCGATTGAACGCTTCCACCAGACTATTAAATCCCTGTTACGTGCTTATTGTACAGAACTGGATCGTGACTGGGAGGAGGGGTTACCTTGGCTCATGTTAGCTGCCAGAGAGGTAACCCATGAAAGTACTGGTTATAGCCCAAATGAACTGGTTTTCGGTCATAATGTCCGTGGGGTACTAGCTGCGTTACGGGATGATTGGATTTCTCTTGAGCCACCGAAAAAATTAGCGGAGTATGTAAACGGGTTTAAAAGACGACTCTTTGAGGCTGTTAAGTTGGCTAAAGCAAACTTAATGCAGGCACAATTAAAAATGAAGCATGCGTACGATCGTAGAACTGAGCACCGATCTTTTAGTGTCGGGGATCAGGTAATGGCGTTATTGCCGGTGACTACTTCTCCATTTAAAGCTAGATTTGCTGGCCCGTATGTGATTCACCGTAAAGAGTCGGATGAAAATTATGTTATTGCGACACCAGAAAGAAGGACAAAAACTCAAGTATGTCATGTTAACTTACTTAAACCTTTTTATGGCCGTTCAGGCTCAGTTTGTTGTCAGGTATCCCCTGTATTGTCCGTTCATCCTGCGACATCTGATGAATTATTTTTGGATTATGAAAAGACAATGGAGCCAGATGACAGCATTATGTGTCCTCGATTGAGTAATTCAGAAATTCTGAGTGACTTACCAGCCTTTTTGCAACATCTTCCTACTGAGAGACGTTTAGAGTTGGTCAGATTGATTGAGGATTATGTATGCCTTTTTTCAGATGTTCCTAATCAGACGCATGTTGTACAACACGATATTGATGTGGGGGATTCCCTTCCAGTGCGTCAGCGATTCTATAGAGTGCCGTGGGAAAAAAGGAAGCAATTGGAATCGGAGGTTAAGTATCTGTTGGAGAATAATTTGGCTGTTCCATCTTCTTCTAGTTGGTCATCTCCTTGCTTGCTAGTAAAAAAGAAAGATGGTACCTTGAGATTTTGTACCGATTATAGAAAATTAAATGCAATCACAAAACCTGATTCTTTTCCCCTTCCCCGTATCGAAGATTGTGTGGACAAAGTGGGTGCTGCCAGATACCTCAGTAAATTTGATTTATTGAAGGGTTATTGGCAGATTCCGCTGAGTCCGCGCGCCCGTGAAGTCTCTGCGTTTATTACACCTGATGGGGCATATTCTTATAATGTGATGAGTTTCGGATTGCGAAATGCACCGGCCACATTTCAGAGGCTAATGAATCGTGTGATAACTGATTTGGAAGGTTGTGCAGTTTACTTGGATGATTTGATTGTATATAGCGATTCTTGGGAGGAACATCTACGGCGAATTAGGCAGCTATTTGAGCGTCTGAAGGAAGCAGGGCTTACTGTGAACCTAGCGAAGTGTGAGTTCGCTAGGGCCACGGTAACCTATTTGGGTAAGGTTGTTGGTCATGGAGTTGTGCGTCCCGTGAGTGCTAAAATTGAGGCAATTGACAGATATCCCCCACCCCGTACCAAGCGAGAATTGATGCGTTTTCTTGGGATGGTGGGATATTATCGGAGTTTTTGTAATAATTTTTCAGAAACCGTCGCTCCGTTGACCGATTTGTTGAAAGTGTCACGTGTGTTTGAGTGGAATTCAATCTGTCAAAATGCCTTTGAAAATGTGAAGGCGTTGTTGACAAATGCTCCAGTTCTTGCTGCGCCGCAGTGGGACAGACCATTTAAAATACATGTAGATGCGTGTGAGATTGGGGCAGGGGCTGTGCTCCTACAGGATGATGGTGATGGGGTGGAACGTCCAGTATGTTTCTTCTCCAAAAAATTTCTGCCTTATCAGATTAATTATTCTGTAATCGAAAAGGAAGCCTTGGCATTGGTTTGGGCACTCCAGCATTTTGATGTCTATGTTGGGGGGGGTGGATTGCCGGTGGTTATCTATTGTGACCACAACCCTTTGACGTTTTTGACAACTTTACAAAATCCTAACCAACGTTTAATGCGATGGTCTTTATTTTTACAGCCATACAATTTGGAGATTCACCACATCAAGGGGAAGGAAAATATTTTGGCGGACGCCCTTTCTCGTGCACCGGTCTCTTGAAGTGATAGAGATATGTCGATTTGTGTTCTGTTTCTTATTTGTTGATTGTGTATAAGTTTTTTTTTTTTTTTTTTTAATTAATTTTTTTGGGGAGGAAGGTGTGACGACCCCTTGTGGTCGTTTGTGGCTGGGGTGTGGGTGTCGGTCTGTGCATCTGTGTGTGTGTGTTGCAGGTCCAGCTGATTGCGCTGGGATTGAGAACACCGGTTTGTGATTGAGTTGCTCTGCTATAAATAGCGTGTTCGTTTCAGACGAGAGGGAGAGGCTGCACGTGGAATCTGGTCACTTACCTTTCGGCTGGGATCGGTTTTGGACCTGATGGGCTAGCAACATGACCTTAATAATAGTAAATAAATATATTTTTGTACCGCAATTGTACTCGACTTCTCCTTATTTGTGGTGACCGGTTTAGGTCATAACAGAGTGTGATTTATATATGCAAGAAAAGATGATAGTCTTAATGAGCTCCTGGAATGCCATATAGAAAAAGCCTCAGGGAAGTTTCTGAACATAATAGTGCGGACAGAATCAAAGAGCCAGGACTTTCTGTACACCTGCGGGAAGCCAAAGGGAGGAGACCTGACTGTGTGCAAACATGCAATTTTAATGCTTGAAAGTTTCTTCACATGCTTCTGATGTAGAATTATACAGCCGTTCTGATGTTTGATGATAGTTTGCATGTGTTAATGATGTTTTATTTATTTTCTTTTTTTTTTTCAGAGAGGCCATGAAACATGACCAAAAGGTTACCTATCAGCAGAACGCATCTCATCTGTGATGGCCGTCAAGTGTACATACTTGCACATTTGTAAATAGATTTTATGTACTGTATTGTTTTATGTCTCTGCTTTAATATTCATCAAGTTCTTATTGAAGATTTTAGATCAGTATGTTCGTTGATTAATTCGCCTACTAATATTGATTTGTGTTGTTATCACCACTAAATGGGAGACTCCAAAAAAGTTAATTTTCCCGTTTTAAGGATTTAGGCACTCCTGACACAAAAGATGTTGCCAAAAAGTTTGAAATAAAGGGATGCCACCTTATAAAATATTTAATTACAACCAGTATTACAGTTAAATCATTCATTTTCCATTGGCTTAGTCCATTTATTAATCAGGGGTCGCCACAGCAGAAGAACCGCCAACTTATCCAGCAGATAACCCAGCACTGGTAAACACCCATACACTCTCACACTCACACACTTACACTACAGCCAATTTAGCTTACTCGGTTCACCTATAGCACATGTCTTTGGACTGTGAGAGAAACCGGAGCACTCGGAGGAAACCCACACAAACACTAGGAGAACATGCAAACTCCACACAGAAATGCTGACTGACTCAGCCGAAGCTCGAACCAGCAACCTTCTTACTGTGAGGTGACAGCGATAACCACTGAGCCACCATGCCACCCCTACAGGTAAATCAGTGAAAAAAAACAAATCGTTCAGCTTATCATACATAGAGTTAGATTAGACCATCAGCATCTCACTCAAAAACTTGTAAAAAGTGTTGATAATTGTCCTATTTGAAGCATGACTCTAGTTACTTTGTGTACTAAAACCAGCAAAAAAATTTTTTTAAAAAGTTGCTAGGGACATACGACTAGGAACTATACTTTCATTTAATTCCTTCATTTTTGAAAGAGATGCTAAAGTTCTAATCCGATTCAATGACTTATGCGCTAAACGTGCTCTCGCCAGATCCAGAGATTGGCTAAATGGATCTCAATAAATGGTAAAACTCAACTCTAGGGGAGTTCCAAATGAGATTATTTCCAAAATTGCAGTGTTCCTTTTATACACTGTATATTTTATATATTGTTCTGTTAAGCATTAGTTTTCTCAGAATTGGCCGTCAGTGACTAAACAGCCAGACACAAAAAAAAAAAAAAATGGCTAATGAGCTGGACCGATTAGATCCTGTCAATCACAAGTGCTTAGAAAAGACATCAAATGTTTTCTGTGTTTTAAACTATTTTCTCACACGTTCTCTTGAGTGGAATTAGGGTGGAACTGGAGGACAGTGATGACAGAATTTCATAAGGTGAAAACTTCTTGTATAATTATGCACCTTAAAAGCCAACATGGGAGAATTTCAACAATTTGAATGAACTCATTTCACTAACATTTGTTAACATATATTTATGTATCAATATACTGTATACGATTCCTAATTATAACGATAAAATGTGAGAACCACCAAACCACCTGTATCCACATATCTGAATACTCTGAACTCTGAATAATCAGATGAGACGTTTAATATTGTTGCATCTTTTTTTTGTTGTTTTTTTCTTTTTTTACAAAGATAAAAAAAGTTTTTCAAAATGTAATTTAAGTAAACTTTCAAATTAACAAACATGTATTACAAAATGGCAATCAAGTATCGTAAATACAGAATTTCAGTCTTGTAGGTGAAACTGTTGAATTTAAATTATGTAGAAGTAAAATTGTTTGGACAATATAAAAATGATAAATACAGTATATGCTGTATATACACACAACTGATCTTTCTGGTTCTTGAATCTAATTGGCTGATAGCTGTGCAATACTCTGCCAGTAACAACACTCGTCTGGCCTTTTCACCCTTCACCCTTGTGCATTACTCCACCTACATACAGCAACAAGCAGAGGACAAACACTACAGTTTAACAATTATTGCAGCTGTTGGACAACATAATGTACTTTTGAGGCTCTAGTGGAGAATGTAGTTGTTTATATTGCAACTATGCATTTTATTTATAGGGATAGCGCCTATTTAAAATATTTATAATTTCTGAGGGACAACGTGTCTGCGGCCATTAGCCTGTCTTTGAACAAAGCCTGTGAACGATGTTCATCCACAAAATGTCGACAGAGGCTGCATAATAAGCACTTAGAGAAAAACAGCATAATTTCAAACTACAGCTGATCAAATCATTATTAAACAGGAAAATGACTCTCTTTTGTATGTTGAAGTGCTGCATTTTGTATCGTAGTAAAATTGTGATCTCCCGATTGAAACAGAAAAATACTGCAAAATCTCTGTAAACTGATGGCATTTCATGCCGTTCAGCCTTATAATCTTAAGATGTCAGCAAAATCACCTGTTTTGTCATCACTTTAGACATTACGCTAGAGAATCATTCAAATACTAGCTCTAAAGTGACGTTTGTGAATGAGCAACGGTTTCTATTGTTCTGACCACCAGCTGCTGATTTGAAGGAATGGCGGAAGAAAGTAGTTCCTAATACAAAATGGTTTTTGAGACTCTCCGTGTTTAAATTTCTTTTTTATACACACAATCATGCCGTCGAACTGTTGTATAAACACAATATCACACTCGTAGCAGTGCGATATGGCTGTATATCATCACTGGTGGGACACTAAGGCACTCTTTTTAAATCTTTTTTTATTAGTTTTTTTATCTATTGTCTATTTGTAAAAAGCTATTATTTACATCACTTAAAAGAAGAAAGTGATTAGAAGTGATTAGTAGATTTGCAAGTAAACTTGTTGTCTTAAAATGAAGTAAATGAACTGTGCATAATTATAGGTCAACTGTTCCAAGTTACAACAGGTTTAGTACAGTAGCTAATCGTTTTTACAAATAGTCTATAATGTTGGTAAAAAATCGTTTCACACACACATACAGTTGAAGTCGGAAATATTAGCCCCCCAGTTTATTATTATTATTTTTTCAATTTCTGTTTAACGGAGAGAATATTTTTTTTCAACAAAACATAATGGTTTTAATAACTCATTTCTTTAAACTGGTTTATTTTATCATTGCCATGATGACAGTTAATAATATTTGAATAGATATTTTTCTATACAGCTTAAAGTGACATTTAAAGGCTTAACTAGGTTAATTAGATTAACTAGGAAGGTTAGGGTAATTAGGCAAGTTAGTGTATAAAGATTGTTTGTTCTGTAGACTAACGAAAAAAATAGCTTAAAGGGGCTAATAATTTTGACCTTAAAATGGTGTTAAAAAATTATAAACTGCTTTTATTCTAGATAAAATAAAACAAATAAGGCTTTCTTGTTATCATACTGTGAAAATGTCCTTGCTCTGTTAAACACCATTTGGGAAATAATAAATGAAAAAAATAATTCTTAATAATTATTATTAAAAAACTCTGACTTCAACTATATATAAACAAAGCATATTCCTTATATAAACAGACCATATGCTTTTAATGACTCAATCGGAATATTTTCAACAAGAATACATACTGTTCACATAAAACAAAAATAACAAATGTACTCAAGTTTCTGCTCCTCAAGTGTCGGTACAATGCGCTTGTGAGAAAAAAAAGTACTTTTTTTGAGTGAACTAACACTTTAAACACTTTTTACCAGCTTTTATTTAGCAAATTTATCCAGGATGTCTTTATGATCTGCATAAAATAGAAATGCTCTCTTTCTAAATAGGCAACAGACAAGGCAGCTCTCTAGATTTTGCAATAGCTCATATGTGAAAGTACGTGTGTATCTTTAATCCTCAGAATATGTCTCAACCAGTCTAAAATGGTGTACACTTTCTCGTTTTACCCACAAACACCACAAGGCACTGGTGTAAGTAAAGCTGGCTCTGGATCAGTGTACAAGGGCATATGTCCATTGAAAACTCTCCCCGTTCAAGCCACAGCTCCCAGTGCACCGCTCGCACCGGAGAAACTTTCCCTTTAGAAAACAAATGTGGGAAGAGAATGGGAAACAGGAGGTCCGTTCGCCTGTGTCCTGATGACTCTTAGCGATAGATGGTCAACATGTGCGGCCGCTGCTCACTCCAATTAAACTGATCTGGACCACTTGACTAGAAGTGTTTCCACTGTGTGTGAGACTTTGACTAACTCTATCCCATTCGCAGATGTTCCGCATGTTCTATTTTTTTTGCGAAAATAAGCGGTTGCAAAAGTTACTTGTGTAATGCTCTGCATCACGGTGGTCTACACAGATAAGGACAGAAGACATTTAATAGCACTTTAGACCAATGTTGACCTTTTGATGTGCTGAGAAGGGGATTTTGACAGTAAAAAATCTGGCAGCTGTGTTTGTAAGAATTTAAATGTTAAAATACGGTAGAACTGTAAAATCTAAAAATGACACATCAAAGCTTTGTTACGCAAACAAAAACACAACAATAAGTATATATTAAGTCATATAGTAAATCAAAGCGCATCACTATCAAGCAGAGAAACACACTAATATGTCAAAGATGCTCAGTGTAGCTAAACTGAAACTACTAAACACAATCATGGTAACATGAATGACGTTAAAGGAATGCAATAAACATTATTCATGAAAATTAGATGTAATATAAAAGTCTATTGTGTAACTGATGAGGGAAAAAAAACTGTAAAAATTGTCATGTGTCATGCTGGAAATTCTGGGAAAAATTTACGATTATTCAGCGCAAACGTTAAGGATTTTTTACTAAGATTTTTTTTTTCTAAGATTTTTACTGTATCATTTTTACAATTTATTATCATTATTAAAGTACACTGTAAAAAATCTGTTATTTTAAGTTTTTGTCCAGCAGCTGGGAAACTACAGACATTTACTGTAAAATAACGTGCGTCAAATTATAGAAATTTCCTTAAATTTTAGTTTTTGGTACATTTCTGTAATTTAACGGCCGTTATTTTATGATTTTTGTCCGGCAAGAAAAAAAGTTTCTTTTTTTTTTACAATGGATATATACAGTTGAAGTCAGAATTATTAGCCCGCCTTTTAATTTTTTCCTTTTTTACCTATTTCTGAAATGATGTTTAACAGAGCAAGGAAATTTTCACAGTATGTCAGAAAATATTTTTTCGTCTGGTGAAAGTCTTATTTGTT